ACTGGTACCCATGGATTGGTTATGGAAGCTACACCTCTAGGAGCCTCTATGTTCAGCATGATCATTGTCACAAGGGGCTGGACACTCCCTGGGTTTGGGGGCAGGAAAGCTGCAGATTGCTCAACTATACAGCATCCTGCAGCAGCTTGCCTTAGTAATTTTAATTCTTCTTCCAGATAAGTTAGGAATTTTTGCACTTTGCATAGTCACATGGAAGGTGAGTACTAGCATGTGGGATGGATGGCATAAATGTCATCAGACCTTTGGTCTTGACTACAAAAAGGACCCCTCTGCTGTTTGTAGCCTGTTTGCAGCAATGGGACTTATAGCTTATATGTCTGGTGTTCGAGCTTCTATACCTGAAGGGTTAGAAGGCAAACAAGGCATTTATCTGGCTAACCACCCGGACTGGTGGCTCCTTTGTGATCTGTTTGCTTACAATTCTTTGCCAGCTTACTGGTCAGGTACGTGTACTGTAGAAATGATCTTTCCCTCAATTTGTATCATCTGACATAGTGACTGGAACTGCTGCATCCACAATCGACAAGACAAGGATCACCTTGAGCATAAAGAACATATTGAACATCGTTCTGTATCTCATGGCCTAGGATAGTGGTGGCGAACTTATGGCACGGGTGCCAGAGGTGGTACTCGGAGCCCTCTCTGTGGGCACACGTGCCATTGCCCCAGCATTGCCTCCCTCCATAACCCCCTCACCAGCAGCCCTCCTGGAGAAGAGTCGCCCCCGAGCGTGGCCCATACGGAGCAGTGCAGTCAAGGACATGGTAGCCAGGCAGTGTAGACAAGACTCTGCCCTCATACCCCATCGTGCACAGTTGATGCTGCAGGGTTCGGGAAGAGGGTGTGGCTGCCATGGCACTGCTGGGCGATCTGCGGCGGGCCCAGGAGGCGGTGAGTGGCCCTGCGGGAAGGCAGGGTGGGGTGGAGCACAGGCAGGGCAGGGGGTGGAGCGAGGCAGGGCCAGTTTTTGGGCCCTCGGTCTTTAAAAGGTTTGCTAGCACTGGCCTAGGAAATGCCATTGCATGAACAGTAATCCCAGCTACGGGGGTTGGTTTGAATTGTAAATCTTTTATAGAATTAGGTGACTGGGCAGAGGAAATGTTTAACCACACGATACAGGCATTTACACAATTCAATAAGGAATAGGGAGAAATAAGGAAAGTAATGTTACAGAATCGCCAAACACTAAATATGGTACTAGGAGCAAAGGAGCGGTGTGTGCTTTGGTCCACTCAGATTTTTTTCACTGACTCTCAAGTTAATCACACCATCCATCTCATGTAAGGAGGAATCAAGAATCGCCCTGAGGATCTGGAGATTTTCACTGATGCTGTATGGGGAGCCTTCAGTAATAAATTCTTGTTCCTTACCGGCTGTCTCCCGGGATGGGGATAGTTTAGGGAACTATTTATTGGTCTTCACTTTGTGGTGATCCTTGTTATCTTTTTCTGTTATATCTTTCACTACTTGCCCCTACTCACCTCTGCCTGTCCTCAACAATGTGGCCCACATAATGCAGAAGCTTATCTTGTGTCTCTCCAGTTTGATGATCATACTTATGCTCACTGCTCAAAATATGAAAAGGGGGATTATGTTGACCCAGAATTAGGAGACAGAATAGGAAGTATCAATTGTGAATATGTGCAGATGGCCCTGCTGTCTTTGGGCACTTGCAGAGTCATGGATGCAGGGTCATGAAAGGACAGCAAGGAAAACACTCAATGTTCTAACCCACCCGGGAATGTATGATGTGTTTAGGGAAACACCCAAAAGGTAACATTTGTAGCTACTTCTGCTTTCTCCCTTCTTTCTTATCTACAGTATGCCAGACTTACTGGGTGAAATCTTTATCTTATGTGTGTCAGCTTTGCTGGATGGATTGCTTATGTAATCAGAAAGAATAAATACAAGTATTTATTGTCATTCCAGGCTTTTCTCTTTTAGAGGAGCCCATCTTTGTTCAGCTGAATAAAAACGTAAAGCTTAAAGGCAACTTCTGGTTTCCTGTATTTTTTTATCAAGCAAAACCTCAGAACTTGCACAGCAGTGCTTGATTTTGAAAGGATAAGCTCAAAGAATAAATATTGAGTGTATTCATCTAAAAGAATAGATATAGAAAATTGGTTAAATTCTCAGAAATTCAGAACTATTTATGACACATAAATATAACTTCTGTGCCTGCTTTTACTTCACAAAAAGGAAGTAAATTGTCCCAAAAGACTAGACAATGCACTTTAGAAATGTTTCTCAATCAGACATGAATATTTTTTTCCACTCTAAAGAGAACTGCCAGCTATAATTAACAAATGACAACATTCTATTAACTCTATAATGCTCCTACTTTTCAGTGAATGTGTTGGTTCAGCCTTTTCCCAACCGGCCTGTGTAAAACTCCACTATAATTCTGAGTGGAAAATTTTTCCTTAGGTAGTCATCTGCCAAGTCAAATAAGCAAGTCTTGTTTTGTTGTTCCCTAGGTTTTTGTTTCACTTCATCATGAATTCCTTACTTGTAGCTTCCTGCAACAAGAGACTGACTTTGTATGAGCTCCTTTAGAAAGTTGCAAGGATTTTCTACATATCCAAGCCTTTTGTTGAAGCTCCTCTCCCCCTACAACCCTGATGTTTTATACTGAAAAGCCATGGCTTATTGATCATTGACAAAAATATCAAAATGTGGTTTCATTTTTTCATATTATTTTTGTGAAAATAATAATTTACATTGGTCTCACAACTTCATTCTTGTATGTAGTAGTGGCATCATAAAGCCAACCTGTGTCATAATCTTCAGACATCCCACTGGAGAGATTTACACATGTAATTAACTCAGGAAGAAAAAAATGTAGAGGAGCCTAACAATGCTCCACTCAGATAAAGGAATGTACCTGTAATATTTGGATAGAAGGAAATTTAAAATCTCTAGAATTACTTTTTTTCCCTTCTAAAAATCTGGTAAGTAAAAAGTATTTCATACCATTCCAAATGATTCAAGCCAGATGTATTGAATCAGTATTCCTCTAGTCTAGCTATTGTTGAGTTTCAGAAGCTCTAATCTAGCAGAACCACTTAGAACTGATGTGAACTGGAGCCCAAAAGCCTCTGGAGAGCTACATGAACCTTATTCTTGCCTTAGCCTTTCTCCAGCCTTTGAATATATAGCACTGAATTTCCAAAATTAGTAATGATCTTGCTGGCTGACAAATTCTGGGAATTAAAATCTGCATACCTGGAGAATACCTAGTTTGGGGACAGCTGCATTGGACAAATATTAGAGGCAAAGAAATTACAAGGTAATCCAGATCCAAAAATTAAAAGGCAAAGGAACCTATTTTTACTTTTTGTTTAAGATTAGACACTTCCAAACCATTGAATTTCCAGATGGTTTGGAGCCAGCCTGGAACCATTTTCTTATGTGTTCATTTCAAACTGCAAAAAACAGGTAAGGAACACCATTAGCCAATCTGTGCTTTTCCTTCAGAAGGCAACTAGAATAATAACAAAAACAACAGTGCTCTGCAAATAGCCTGACCAATTGCACAGCCAGATCCTGGGCTTTGGAAATAGCCCAGTTCATTTCCCATTAACTTAGAGGTCTGCTTTAAATTATGCAAGGTCAGAGGCATGAATTTGGAAGTACTGAGCTTCACCCACATCAAGAAGTTTACAAAATAATCACATAACCCATTCTTTTCTCCATTTCCTCTGTTCTTTAATAAAGACAATACTTCTGTCTCTATTCTCCATTCCTGGCAAAGATATTTCAGAATTTTTCAAAAGTGATGTCTGGAGCTCACATTTAATGCATATTTGTGCGCGCACCTGCAAACGTACTAAATGGGTGAATAAACAGTCTATTTTAGAGTTTATTTAGGGTTTATACAGTATTTTTCAGCAGCTCCCATCTTAAAATGGCAGCAACTGCAGCAACAGTCAATTGTAGACTCACAAAGAAAGGGCTCAGGACAGACTGTGTTTATGAGTCCCAGATTGCTCATTTGACTTTTTAAAGATTTCAGAAACAGGTACGTTTAGACCAGGACCTCTTATAAACCACCTCCACTACATAGCTAGAGAGTCATAATAAATAGCCCAAGAGTCTGCACAGAAGAGGAAGTTGCTGTTTGCATACTGTAGTAGGAACAAGGGGGTAAAACACTAATAGCTATTTTGACATAAATTTTGGCTATCTTTCAAGCCAAGCCCACAAACTAGTCTGAATTCAGCATAAGCCATCACAGGTCCTATGTTTATGCTGCTTACAGCATAATTTGAAATTAAGCAACTGCTTGCTCAGATCACTTCAAGATTGAGAAATATCTCAGAAACACTTGGGGAAAAAATGACCGAAAGATGCCTTATTCTTGCCTATCTTCACTCTGTTCAATCATGGTCCAACCGCAGGGGCCGTTTTAATTTTACAGCAGACATCAATGTAACATGCCCAGTGACGGGATTCAAATATGTGAGTAACCAGTTCTGTGTGTGGATGCCGCTTCCGGAAGCCCATTCTGGGCCTGAGCAACAAAAAATTAGCTACCGGTTCTGCAGAAGTGGTGCGATCCGGCTGAATCCCCCTGAATAACCCCGTTCAACATGTTTGATTTGAGCTCTTTAATTCTCCCCTACACTACAGATATAGGGTAGGTATAAGGGTAATCCTACTGGAAGGGAAATCAAATGAGGAAGAAAAACAAGATAAAAAGACCTTCCCTGCTTTTTACTCCATAGAAAAGGCCCCGCTCTGAAAATATTTGGTGCATTTCTGAACAAACTTGTTGTTTGAATCTTGAGTTCTGTTTTCCGACCTGTTTTCCGATCTGGAAGAGGATGCTTTATGTGTGAAATAACAAGAGTGCAAGCAATCACAGATTATTTTATTGCATCAGCGATCAATCCTTTTGATTGGTTGACCCCTCTAGGAATCTTTTCGTCATTGATACTGCCATTAGGACGCCGGGCAGCAGATCGCTTATTAATTAAAAAGGTGGATTATTTTTAAAATAAAAAAAACGACAAGCAGGTAGCAAGTCCGTTTCTTTCCTTTTGGAGAGAAGGGAACTCTTTCCTTGGTTATAAATTGTGGTTCCATTTCAATATAAACCAGCTCTGCGGTTTGATTTCATCCAAAGCCCACGGCTCGGTTTCTTTCCCCTTACTGAAAGCTTCCCGCCCTCCATCCCCAAGCCTCAGCCCCCAGAGTTGAGGCGGCGGCCCCCGGAGCCACAGCCTCTAGGAGGCGGTGTGATTTTTTTCCCTTCGCCGTTTTTCCAGCCGGTGGGAGGAGCAAGTTGGCCGGGGGCCAGGGACAGAGGGAGGGTGTCTGCAACCCAAGCAAGGGAGGGGAAATAACGGGAAAAGAGAGGGGGCGGCTTGGTTGTCTGTGTGCCTGAAAGGGAAAAAATCTCTCCGACCTCGCAGCGACAAGACGCGCGGCTCCTCCTTTCCAAACCCGAGGCCAAATCCTCGCCGCAGCAATGGGAGTGGAAGGCTGTACCAAGTGCATCAAATACCTGCTGTTTGTCTTCAATTTTGTCTTCTGGGTGAGTGGCGTCTTCCAGGGCCTTCGTTTGCTCCGTCCCGGGTTGGAGGCGGGGATGAATCTCTCCGTGATTAATGTCGTGTGGCTGGTTTTCTCCTCGCCTTCTTTTCCCACCAAAACAAAGAAACGGGCTCCCAGAGGAGCCCTGCCTGGCGTCTCCTGCTGCCCAGCCGGGCGAGCCTTTTCGCCCGATTTCTCCCCGGCGTGGGGTGGAGGGATGGCAGCCTCATCCGGGCAGCAGGGCGCGTTCTCCTGCAAAGCGCTGCTGCATCGACCGAAAGGGATGTCGCGTGGAAAGAGGCAGCAGAGCTCACGACCCGGGTTTGCCCGAAAGGAATCTGGGTATGGGGTGGAAAAGTGGAAAATCGAGAGCCAAACAGACACCGGCTCGCAAAAAAAAAAAAAAAAAAAACCGGTTTAGAAACCGGTTGTTTGTTTCTTACCTCTTTCCTTTTCATACAAAGTAGAGAAGGCTCATTTGGCTTTGATGCCATGTGACGTTTCGTGCACCGTGTACTTGTAGCGTCTTGAAACTTCTACTTAGCCAACTTTCAAGTTAATCTTTTTGCTAACTCCCACCTGAATGCAGATTGGTAATAAGAGACTGTTGTAAGAGCTTTGTTGCCTGAAGCAGATTTGGATCTCCAAGAGACCTCTTATCCCTTGCAGGTCACGCCAACTACACTCTATAAATCTAGTGGAAAGCAACAGTTTCCTGTTTGTTAAACAGCTTTTTTTTTTTAAAGATAGCTTGTGTCCCGTAGATTTTTGGGTGGTGGTTTTGGAACACTAGCTAAGAGGGTATGTCTAAGGGATTTTCATTTATTTATTTGTAAAAGTAACATGTTGGAGGAAAAAAATCTAGCAGTTTGCTTCTTTCTGTCTATTACTTAATGAATTATGGAAATTATTGTGTATGTGTATACACACACACACACACACACACACACACACACAATAATTTCCATAATTCATTAAGTAATAGACAGCCTGAGAACTGAAGTGATTGGGAAGAAGAGTGTTCATGTTTATAACAGAAGAAATATATTCATGTGAATGTTGGTCTAAAATGGATGACTTACAGCATTTTTTGAGACTGCCTTTCATGATCTCATTTTTCCTCCTTGGTTGTTGCACCAACCACACCCCAAGTCTCAGAAGGTCTTGAGTTTCTCCAAGTTTCAGGTAGAAAACAAATTCAGGCCTTCACAGATTACTTAAAATTCATATTGGTAGGAAATTAAGTTTTTACCTTCAGATTTTGAGGCTTGTTCTTAGATAAAAATAAAAATTTGTAGGAATGTTGTGTGAAAATGTCTATAAATCTAATTGCTTTCAAATACAAGCAATATTGAGTACTTGTTGAGGAAGAGAGCTAAGATATTTGTATATGCTAAATGCTCATCTGAAACTATTTGTCCCAGTTAAACCATTTCCACAAGAAGCTGTACAGAAATGTTTTACATGCCATCATCTCAGATAAGTAAGGGTTTAAAAGAGCAAGATATGTCTGTTTCTTGAATTTTCTCTATAAATACTGTTGAAAGTCTGAGAAAATATGTATACAGTGCTAAAACTTATAGGAATTCTTCTAGACATATTTGGAAACCCATATATACAGTCTTAAATAAGACAATTTGTGTTTGTTTTCTATTATCCTATTCATTCTAGACTTACCCTGTTTCCAAGCTGCGTCACTTTGTGATGCTTCTTAAATCTGTGCCCTGTGCTCTTCTTTAAACTATGGAAAGAGAAAGGGATTAAGAAGAGGAGGTAGATTACAAATGAGTTCATATATTAGTGTCAGTGTGATTATCATTTTTTGAATAAGTAAAACAAGTTTATGTGTTGTGGTTTGTGTTTGTGTGTCCTACACCAACCAGAGTCACTGTTGTGAGATAGGTAGCCTTATAAAATAAAGGTGTAGTTTATGAATCACAGTGGCTGGTTTCACACAAAGCCCTGTTTCCCAAATTAAACACCCGGTGCTTTAATTTAACACAAGATATAAACACTTGAATGCGGTAGATCAACTTTCCCCAATCAGTTTTTTTTTTAATTAATGGGATTCATAGAATTCCCAGGATTCTGTGAAAAGAACTGGGCAATTTGCAGACATCAGGTTTGGGGTCTCTGGGAATTCTTTATAAGCAATTTCTAAACAGCTGGCTCAATCAAGATTATTTCTCAAAATGTTATCTGTTTTTGTGTGTATAAATAAACTTAAATATACATACACACACATTCACCATCATTGGAAGACTTGAAAGACCAAGGAGGGACAGTTCACCATGGAAAATATCTGTGTGGTTTATAAGGTCAACAACTTGATGACAGAGTACATATATATCACATTTAATATGCTTGAAAAAACTGAAGTAATCTTGGAATCTCATTCTTAAACAATTTTTTATGATTAGTTACCTAAATAGTTACCTAAAAACTGGCAAGAATACATCCATGCACTCTTGATATACTTAATCTGTTCCTAGAATCTTAGATCTAAAGATAGAAGGAGAGGCTGGAGAAAGCTCTCAGATTAGTCTTTATGTATGCACCAGCTGCAGTTTATTAATTACCCTTTAGCTTCACTTGTGGAAACTGTGTGACAATGTTTTAGAGCGTTGCTGGCGTGGAATTCTGGGAGTTGAAGTCCTCATGCCTTAAAATTGTCAAGTTTGGGAAATACTGTTTTAGAGCACGGGTGTCAAACTTGCGACGTCACGTGACGTGTCATGACGTATCACAACTTTTTTCCCATTGCTGGCAAAGGGGTAGGCGCAGTTTTGGCGTGACACATCCGGCCTGTGGGTTCAACAGTTTAACACCCCTGTTTCAGAGCTCTAGACTGTCAAAATTCAATTTGAATTTGATATTCTGGGAATTAATAAGAGTCTGGACTTAAAAAGGATTCTGATCCGGTACCAGAAAAGAATTGAAGGATAGGGGAAAAAAAGGAATAGTTGCAAATGAAGTTATAGTTATTATTACGATTGATATTGAACAGATGGAGAGAGAATTATGAATAAATATGCATAAGGAGAAGAAATTTGCACTATGTTGAAAACTAGGGAATGAATCTCTGAATGTATTAGTTGAATTGACTAAAGCAAAATGGATAAAATTGCTGTAATCTCAAATCATTCCATTCTTCCTCCCAAAATAGGGGAAGGGAAAAATAACATCAGCATCTCTCCCTGCTTTCTCCTTATCTAGAATCTTTAGGTGGTGTATGTTGACATAGTATTTATAATGGTAAAATCTGAAAAGGCTGAAATTTTAAAAGAAGACTAAGGTATGTAAGATTTATTGTGCAGCTAATCAGTTCAGATTTTTCTACTGTTGTGTTACCAGGCATTTTTTTTCAACTTCTTGTAATGATTTCTTAAACTTTCATTACTAGTTTGTCCACTCAGTTCCACATTTCCTTGTGACCAATTGCTTAATAATAAAGAGAATTTTTCTACAGTGTAACTACCCTTTTTGTTGTTATTGCCATTTCTCTCAGCCTCTATTAGCCCACTTCTAAATACTTCCAAATTCATTCAATGTATGAACGTTCATATTAACTTGCACACAGGTGTCAGGAAACATTGCATTCAGAGAAGATCTAATTAAGATATATTTATGAGGATTTCTTGTGTTGGGTACAAAATGGCATAATGTTTCCTGCCTCATTTATAAAAACGATTTAGTTTCTTCAAATTCCTTAGGAAAAATGATGATGTCATTAAAGACCCCTCAAATTCAGCTTCTTGGCCACAGTTCGGAAATGGTTTTCCTTTGCCTTTTTCTGGAATGTATTTTTGTCTTCTCAGACAAGAATGAGGTTTCCGGAAGGTACCAACAGCAAAATCATATAGAGTCAAATGGAAAGGAGGAGCTTTTTAGATGGGAAGAAAAATCTGTTTTGAAAAATGAGGGGGGGGGAGAAGCTTAAAATTAGCTTGAATGTGATGAAGCAGCACATGGGAAAAACAATACAGTAATAGTGATAATTTTTGCATTTCTCCAGAATAAACAATTAGGAAAATGATCCCATTAATATTAACACATGCGTCTCCTTTTTCTCATTTCCATTAAGTCTGCATAAATAAAGTCCATAAATGCAAATTCAGAGTGTCTGTAATTGGTATTAGGCACAATGAGTTAGCAAATTCTTATAAACAACCACTTGCCAAAAAAGAGAAGCAGGGAGAAATTATATTTCCAACTGCAAATGGCTTTGCTAATAACATTTCAATCAAGCCCATTCCTTGGTGCTTTTATGCCAGTTGGGATTTACATCTAGATAAACATCTATTCTTCCTATAACAGAACTGTCTTAGCAAACAGCAGCAGGAACTGTACTGGGTGTGCAATTCGCTAAATTCACAGTTGGAGGAATCACAAAATCAAGAATTTTTATTATTACCAGCAACTGAAAAGTGAATACTGGGCACAAATGAAATATTGAGGACATAGAAGTTAACCTTTGTTGCAAATCATGTTAGTCATGATTAAGAACTTAATCATGATTCTTATTTGAACATGTCCCCAGATACTCTATGGCTACCAGGCAAACAAAAATGTAAGGGAGTCAGAAGAATCCCTTAGAAGTGTTTTCCAACCCAATCATCATAAGACAAATCTGCTCTTTATATTCCTTTCTCAGTGTTCATTGACTTATCTGTGTACAGGTAATCCTTGACTTACAACAGCTCATTTAATGACTATTTGAAGTTAACAGTGGTGCTGAAAAAAGGGACTTACAACCATTTTGCACACTTACAACAATCCAGCATCCCTGTAATCACGTGATCAAAATTCAGACACTAGGCAACTGGTTCATATTTATGATGGTTGCAGCGTCCCAGGACCATGTCATCCCCTTTTGCAATCTTCTGACAAGCAAAGTCAGTGGGGAAACTAGATTCACTTAACAACCATGTTACTAAATTAACAACTGCAGTGATTCACTTAACAGTGGGCAAGAAAGGTCATAAATTGGGGCAAAACTCA